TGCATATGGAAAGTTATGAGCCAAAATATGAGAGAGATTTTGGCTGTAGCTGAGGTATCCGCCCAGACCAGACCACCCCTCCCTAAATGAGGCATTGGTCCTTGGCTTTAGAGACACCCCCTGCTGGGGGACTTCAAAATGGGCTGTCAGGCCTAAGAAAGTAAAGTTGAAGAATTCTCCCATTTTTAACATCAATACCACCTGGGGAGACCCGTACCCTTTCGCTCTGAAACTTGATCTGCTAACCCAGGACTTTGGCAAGTACCTTAACCCTTTAACCTCTCTCTGTTATCTCTTTGCTGTGCTGTTCTCTATATATGTGTGTGTGTGTATGTTACATCTTCTGTAAATATATTTTTATTGCACCCCTTTTTGACTTTTCAGTAATAAATCTTTCCTTCTGAAAGTGTTGAGCTGTTTCTATAGTTCTTAAATTGCTATTTACGAATTCCTGCCTCTAAAAGACGCTACTGTGTTTGTTTAACCCTCTGTATAACCGGCCTGCGGTGACCATGTTATACAAACGATTACCTCAACCATTATAGTGTTGTTGCGGCTATCGCCGAGTTTCCTCTTTCTCTGTACAAAAAGGAGGTGGTGGCAGTGTGAAGGGTTAATTGCATAATTAACCTGACCCAGTAACAATCGCTCAGGCTGCCAGTACATCGATGGTGGTCCATTAGCTGGAAAATCGTGCAGTGTGCGGCTGGGTGTGGCATTGTTACGCATGTGACATCGCGGTTTTAGAATGGCTAGTTTCTTTCTGGGTGGGGGATCCTTGCTGGTAGACAAGGGACATGACAGTTTCTTCTATACATTTGGGGAATGTAGGTCTTTTTTTAGATTCAGTGTAGGTGACATAAGCTGCGCCCCCCCCCCCCCTCTCTCCTGTAGAGATTATAGTTTTGGATGCTTGCGGGCTTTTGAATGGGACCGTGTCTTCCAGTAATTTTCCACGGAGGTGTCATTGTGGATGGACAGGATTTAAACGTCTCTTATCCTTCCATTTCAGAGCCAGCACTTCATTGTTTTCTTAGACTTGCTGATTCCCCCCTTTTAGCCTGGTGTTCACTAGAGCTTTTGTGGGAAGCCCTTCCTGTTTTTTCGGGAGATACCGCAGGCCAAGGTTTTCTCACGATAGAGGTGTCAGAAAAGGGGCAGACTGGTATAGAAATCGTCAAGGTAGATGTGATAGCCTTTTTGGAAATGTGGAAAAGCCAGGTCCCAGACAACTTTTCCACTTGTGCCAATGTAGGTTGGGCACTCGGGCTGGAGCTGGGAATCTTTGCCTTCGTACACTCAAAACCAGGGTGGATAAAAATCAATGATTTTTTTTATTTTTAAATTGGATTTTTTTTATTTAAATCTGATTTTTTTAAATAAAATGCTTTTTGAGGAAAATATATAACCATCCAAAGGTTATTCCATCATGAAATAAAGATTAGTTTTTTTTAATTATGTAGAATAAGGCTGTATATGTTTAATTTTTTTGGTAAATAAATTCCATTAATCCATTCACAATGTCATGCTCTCCCAGAGGTTTTGTAAGATTATTGGGCAGTTTCTCTGCCTACAAGATATTATCACAGATGCTTGGTTTACTTTTGCAGTTCTCAAAACTGAATTTGACTCAGCGGAGATCACATGCCTCTTCTTCACAGCAAAAATGTTATAACATGAACAGAGTTAAGAAAGACCTTAATCCTAACTTCTACAAACCTATGAATACAGAATCAACCCCTTCAGTGCTAAGTTTCAAGAAGTTCAGTGAATAGAATAGAAACAATATTTTTCTGATTGTTTGGAGTGGAATAGATCTGCACAAGACAGTCTAAGTTTCTTAGAAATATATATATTTTGTTTAGCCAAATTAACAAACATGGATGTTTGTTTAAGCAAATAACAGATGCTGTAATGTTGTTTCAGTTGAATAAATCTATTTAAATTATTATTAAGGTAATGATTATTTTTCTCCTTCCTAAGTACAACAAAAAAGTTGTCCAAATACAAATGATTAACCTATTAAACTGGGGATAAAAAAACTAATATGAAAAGTTGTTCTACAAATTTTCATCTACTTGCATATTAAAGTTATACCAGCAATAATTAGTCTATGTAGAAAACTATGATTTAAATCAAGCCTTACTGACTAGTGATTTAAATCGTGATTTAAATCAAATCCACCCTGCTCAAAACGCATACAAATATTCAGTGGCTCTTTCACAAAGCTTGTAGAGCTTTATTCCATACCTGGCCCTTTTGCTTGGAATATATTGCTTCATTCCCAGCCAGCGAACAAGGTATTTCTTCAGGGAATTAAAGTTCAGCAAATCTTTTGGGGAAAAAAATTAAGTGGGTGAATTTTGTATAATTTGACATAGTTGGGATGATCTGGAGGGCACTGGGTATTGTCACTGAAATGAAGGAATTGCATGATCATCTCATAACGTGACCTGGGCATTACAGCAGAATGGGTGTGTGGACTAGTGGGCATGTCCTACAAGGGACGAAACCAAAAAATAACTTTAAATTCCTCCAATGTAAGAGGTCTCCATTCAAATGGACAGACAAATGATGAACTGGGGTTGCTGGGCAACAAGGTTTGCCTGGTCCACAATAAAATTAAGTAAACTGTCGGGCATAAATAAAAATAAATAAAAAAAAATCAATTTCATTAAAATTTTCAGTGTTGGCCTGCACACTTGGCTGTGCGATGAAAGGGAATGTTTGCTGATCCTGAGTTGGAGGGCAGCCATACTGGGTTGACGAGCTTCTGGGAGGTATGTATGGGCCCTGATTCTTGGGGTTTGATGAGATATTCCAGTGCTGGTACTGGGCCTTTCATCCATGGGTCTAGCTCCACTGACCATTGGGGTGTATGGCGCTGCTGGTGGCTGCCTGGTTTTTAGAGCACTGTATCCTTTTCCTCTTAGGAGGGACCCTTTCCTCCTCTGATCCACTACGTTCGAAGGGTTCACACACTGAATCAGAATTGGACAGTGAGAGCTCCCCTCTGCTCTCATCTGCCATACTGAGGCTTTTGAACACCTCCTCACTAGTGTAATTTTTTTTTTTTTTGGCTCTGGTGGCACTGGGAGAAGTACACTGTTGATGGTAGCTGTAGGACATGTACCCTGATGGTGGCTGTGTGATGGGTACTCTGCTGATGCTGGCACTGATGAACGATGGGCGACAGGTGCACTGCTGATGGGCGACAGGTGCACTGATGGGCGACAGGTAGGGATGCACTGAAGTTTCGGTGGCCGAAAATAGCCCTATCGGCGTTTTTCTAATAGTAAAAATGTAGCCTATTCAGGGGGCTGGGGGGGGGGGAGAGTTTAAGGCAGGAGAGGAGCAGTGTATACAGTGAGCTACTGCTAAATATCACTTCCGGTTTTTAAATGTAAGTACAGGCTTTTTTTTTCTTCAACGAAAGGTCCAAGAAGGAGCTGTTATTCTCCCTGCCGCTAAAGGAAACAAAGGATTGGTGTCACTGGGTGACCCTGCTCCTTTTTTTCCTTTAGCGTTAAACGGTAATTGCATTTAAAAACTGGCATTGACATAGCGGCAGCCAGTGAGGAAGCCTGAGTGTATACACTGCTCCTCTCCTGCCCCCTCCTTGCACTGACTGCCCAAACCCCTCTCTCTACAAAGGGAATTTGTCACTCATATACGATCACTCATATACCACCACATAGGGGACTATTGGTCCCCTATGTGATGGCAATAAAATCATAGGTTAAAAAAAAAAAATACACATTAAAGTGAACAAAAATAAAAAAAAAAAAAATATTTGAGCCTCCCCACCCCCACATACGCAGACATTTTGGTTTTTGGCCACGTGCATTCAGAATTTTTGGGATCGGCTTTGGCACCAGAATTTTCATTTCGGTGCACTGATGGGGCGATAGGTGTACTGATGGCGGGCACTGTGGCTGTTTCTGCACAGTGTACAGAACAGTTTACATTTGTGACCGGCTGTGATTGGACACAGCCGATCAAGTGGTTAAGAACTGCGGCCAATGGCTCTTCACCTCAGTTGATGTGCTGTGACATGGCTAAATCAGCACGCATGCGCAGCTAGAGCGGGAGGACATCATAAGACGTTCTCTCAGAATGAGGGCTCCCGCCCGTCTGTCATCTGCCTATGATCTCCTTTACAACCAGTAAAGTCTTGGTTTAGCAGCATGCAGCCCGGCAGGCCCCCCCTAAAGCACCTTGCACTGCACAAAACATATCCTGCAGGTGTGCGGAAAATTGTAACTCTAGCCAAAGACTTGGTAAAGAGAGACCACTTGATTGAAGGTTTGATTCTGTTGCTGTGTTTTGTGGGATACACTTTATTTGGTCAGCACAGTGGCTAAATGGTTAGTACTTCTGCCTGGCAGTACTAGGGTTACTGATTCGAATCCCAACCACGGCACCACCTGCCTGGAGTTTTCATGTTCTCCCTGTGCCTGCAGGAGTTTCCTCCGGGTACTCCCGTTTTCCTCCCACAAGCCAAAGACCTGCTGGTAGGTTAATTGGCTCCTGTCTAAATTGTCCCTACTATGTGTATGTATGAATGTACATTAGGGACCTTGGATTGTACGCTCCTTGAGGGCTAGGGGCTGATGTGAATGTACAATATATATGTCAAGTGCTGCATAAACTGACGGCACTATACAAGTACCAGTAATAAAATAATGGGAACTTGCAACTTGTGGGTGCAATAGGACTTGAAAAAACTGCTTGTGTACTGGTTTCTGTGATTGACCCTTTTGTTTGATTATAAATAAAGTGACATTAACCACAAGCCTACATGGCACTTATACCCCCTTCCTGCCCAGGCCAATTTCCAGCTTTCAGCGCTGTCGTCCTGAGTGACAATTGCACGGTCATGCAACACTGTACCCATTTGAAATTTTTATAATTTTTTTGTGACAGAGCTTTATTTTGGTGGTATTTAATCTGGGTGAAAATTTTTGAAAAAAAAAAAAAAAGTTTTTTCTTAGTTTTTGTTATAAAATTTTGTAAATAAGTGTTTTTTCTCCTTCACTGATGTGCGCTAATGAGGCTGCACTGATGGGGCATTGATGGGCACTGATATGTGGCATTGATGTGGCACTGATGGGCACTGACACAAGGCAGCGATGGACACTGACAGGTGGCACTGCTGGGGCTACACTGATCATCAGTGCCCACTGATCAGTGTACATGTCCCCTCTGCGGAAAGCCGATTACCGGCTCTCCTCTCCTCTCGAGCTGTCAGCGTGACAGCTCGAGAGGAGAGAAATGCCGATAACCGGCATTTCCCTGTTTACTTGTGATCAGCTGTGATTGGACACACCTGATCACATGACCGAGCCGACATCTTCGGCTCTTTCCGTGATCGGTGATCCGCTGTGTTCGAGGGACACAGCGTACCGCCGATCAGCGCGCTGTGCGCTCCCTAAGTCGCACATGCGTTGTGTGAAATTAGGAGGACGTCATATGTCATCCTCACTGAACGAGAGAACCTCCTTGCATTTGTCATATTACTATATGGCGGGCGGGAGGTGGTTAAAGCTTTGGTTTTTGTTTTTTAGAACATGTTGTTCTTGCCAGTGATTGTGCGCAGAGCAGCCCCGACCCTCTACTTTTCACATCCCTGCTGGTGCTCCTGGCTTCTGCTCCTTGAGCAGTGCCCCCAGGAAAAGCCGTTTGCTCTGGGGGCACTGCTGTGCACTCATCCCTGAGCCGTTCTATTCGCCCATGCACTGCTCTATGTGGTAAAGCATGCTTGTTGTACTAGCTGTGGAACCTAAGGGGTTAATCCACATTGTGTAAAAAAGGCTATTTGATTCTGTCTTCTCTGATCTTCTTTCACAGTCCCCAATCCATTTGCTGATAGTAGAGCCCTAGGAGGCAATTTTTTTTCTTTTCTTTGGGAGAGTGCATGTGTTTAGCACAGGGCCTATCAGCACTGCCCAGATGGGGTCAGGGGTTATGCAACCTCATAGGACAGTCAGAGCAGAATGAAAACGTCTACAAGCTTTAACCAGTGCTCAGCTGGACATTGATGAAAGTCACAGGACTGTTATATACTGCTGATGAAAAAAGATATTTAGCAACTTATATTTACTAAAATAATTGCATTTCCATGTTGTGTGTACTGTGTGAGACCGGCTATAGTGAATGCAGGGTCCTGGGTTTAGTAACACTTTATTTCTAAAACACAGTGCATATAAAAACATTATAGCAAACTGGTCCATAATAGTTAATGAAAACCACCATGAGGCATATGAACATAATACATATGACAACCCCTACACGTTTCAGTCCTTGACACACATCTTCATCAGGGGGATGTGTCAGTGGTTATATAGGACGAAGGTTACTTAATCGTCATATTCCTAAGGGGTGAAAGTCTCCCCCAACAGAACAGGGTTCAATCTATTGGTGCACACAGGACACCGAGGAGTTCCCCACTAATGGACTGTGTAAAGAGAGACAAGGCTTCAGGGTTCACACAAAATGGGTATCCGATATTAAAGCAAAACTTTACCCATAACACCTTCATAAAAAATGTTCTTTAGCAAGGAACATACATTCCACATTAATAATTATGCTACCAAAATGAGTGTGCTGTAAATTTCCTCCATCATTGTTCCTGTTTCTTCTTGCTGGAGGCACCCATTTTGCTGGAACCCAGAGCCCCTGAACAGCAGTAAATCATAAAGCGGAGCGAAACCCTTGATTTTAATGGTTTCAAAAAAGTTACATTCCTGGAATGCTAACTGTAACATTTGGTTGTGCTCTCAACCAAACTGTCAAACAATCAAATGGATGGTGTCACATGTGCAGCATCATGGCAGTTGCAGATCAAACAGAAGCAGCTTTCTTGGCTTTAAAGGATTTCATTCCACTTTAGTGGAACTTTAGGTATAAAAGTAAAAATGGATGGACAGGCAAGATTTTTAATGACACTCTTCTGCATTATAAAGCTACCTGCGTGCATGTCCACCCACTGTACAAAATCAGCAATGCCGAATTTGATGAAACTCTGGTGCATGTACAGGCATGACGTCATCCCCGCCTGGACAATGACTGGGCCAGCATTTGGGACCTGAAAGGTGCCAGCCAGGCGGGGTGCTCTGGGACAGTGCCATCGCTGGGGAGTATAGTTCTGCTTTAAGGCTGTCAACAGTTCAACTTCTAGGGATTTGTCAGTGCCTAAAAGTAGAGAGCAAATGAGCATGTGCAGAGTATGGTGAAACAATGTATTACTGGATTTTTAACGGTATAGGCATTTATTTTTGTCCAAGAGACAGCCATAGTTAAAATCTTGTTTGCCATGCTGACCAATATACTCCGTAATTTCAGTAACAACATATTGCTGGTTGTTTGAGTCATTGGAGAAATGTTTTGTTTTGTGCAGCTCAGGAGAAAGTTAGAGAATTCAATGATTGTGAAATAATGGTCTATTTAACATTTGATCTTGCGTGTAATTCTTTTTGTATGGCTTCATTTTGTAACCTACTGTCGGGGTGTGGGAATTTTTTTTAAAAAACTACTTGTCCAAGGGATTAAATGGAGTCCCAATCTACTTGTCCCTCATGGCAATCTACTTGTCCTGATAAAAAATAATTTTAACCAAGGTGAAAGGTTGATGTTTTTCAGTGCAAAGATCAGGCGTATTAAACACACAGAGTGCTGCAGTCAGTGTTGCATTTAGACAGAGCATGATCAGGAGTATATAATGTACAGTAAAGATTGGTTGTACGCAGGAGTGCTAGAGCAAAGGTAGTGTAACAGTGTATGGGGCATGAGGCCATAAAATGTTCACTAAAAGCAATACTCCTCCCACTTAATCCTTTCAGCAAACGTCCCAACTCTTTTCCCTGGACGCTCACCGCTCTCAGCCCAGATTTTTGCCTCCCAACACAAATCCCCTCCACAACCACTCCAAATCACGTTTCCAGTACATATTCTCTTCCCCTCCAAATACCCCCCTCCCCACAGAAATCTTCCTTCCCTCAATCCTCTTAGCAAGAAGTTTCTCCCCACTTCTAGCACAAATCTTCCCCCTTCTAGCAAAATCTCAAACGATTCTCCCATCCCTGTACAGTGTTCCCTGTGTCTATGTAAACAGATGGTATACTTTTTTTTTTTTTTTTTTTTTTTTTTTTTTTTTTTTTATAGTTTAAATGTAATTCTACAAGTGATGTATACATTTATTTTTTGCAGAGCATGAGAAGACAGAGAAATGAAGTTGTTGTTGAACTAAGAAAGGTATACTTCATATATTTTGAGATTTACACGTGATTATTTTTTTGGGGGGGGGGTAAACAGATGTTTGAATATAAAGTTGTATGTACTACTAAAATGTATGTACAGTTCCCTTCCCCAATTGTAGTGTTTTTTTTTGTTTCAGATGTATAGATTCCCTTAGCTGTCTTGGGGCTATGAGTGGTTGAATGCAGACTACACTTTCTTAAAATGATCCTTTTATGGTGCTTTCTAGCTCCCTATGACTTTTTTTTTTTTTTTTTTTCCCCCTCACTGTACCTTGTGCAGAATGTGATGAGGTTGGTGGATAGGTAACAACATTTTGAACTACCTATTGTCTTCCACCCATAGGTGGGGCAATCTCCTTTGTAAGTGCTGCCATACAGAATTCATTAGAATAGTTACCAGGAAGTATGTGTCAGTTTTGTTAAACTTTCTATAGCAAAACTGCTACACCAGGATGCTTTAATTGTATTCTGTTTACTCCCACTGTGTTCTGTTTCCATTGAGTGGAGGTTTTAAAGTTGCACATTATAAAGTCGTTAATGTGACAATGTTTCTTTTTGTATAGAATAAAAGGGATGAGCATTTGTTGAAAAGGAGAAATGTTCCCCAGGAGGATGTCTGTGAGGATTCGGATGTGGACTCAGAATTCAAAGTGGTAAGTTCCAGAAATGACTGATTCTGTTTTACAGTTCAAAAATAATTTGTTCGCTTGATTGCCAGGTTTTTCTTGCCTTTAAAATGGCCGAAACTGCATCTTTGCTTATTGATACAATCAACTGCTAGTTAACAACACTATATAGAGGAATGTGACTTTATACTAGCAGTTAAAGTGGAGCTCCACCCAAAGGGGAAGTTCCGCTTTAAGGCTTCCTCCCCTGCTCCCCGTTAAGGATTGGCACCTTTTGGTGAGCGGGTACACGTATTTCATAGGTTTGATCACCTAAGGCGATCGGAAACGGAAGTTGTTCTCCCCCCTCCCCGTAGTCTTCTGGGACAAGTGACAGGTCCCAGAACATTACGGGACCATTCAGAGAGCGCAGCACTACTTGTGCATGCACTGTGCGCAACCTGTCACAGCCGGGTGCCCACACTGAAGATGCCAGCGCCGGGAGAGAAGACTGCTGGTGAAACCAGCTGTAGTGAGGACACCGCTGGACAATGTATGTATTTTAAAAGTCAGCAGCTACAGTTTTTGTAGCTGATTACTTTTTCATTTGGAACTCCACTTTAAAGTGGTTGTAAAGGCTAAAGGTTTTTTACCTTTTTATGCATGAAGGTAAAAAACCTTGTGTGCAGTACCCCCCCCCCCCCCCAATACTCCTCTAAGCCCCCTCTTGATCCAGCGACGTGCACTGGAGTCTCTATCCCGGGACTCCCTCTTCTTATTGGCTCAGACAGAAGGGGGAGCTGTTAGCTCCCATTGCTGTCAATCACAGCTAGTGAGCCAATGAGAAGGGGGGGGCAAGCCGCAGCTCCTTGTGTGAATAGACACACGGAGCAGTGGGTGCCCCCAATAGCAAGCTGCTTTCTTTGAGAGCATCTGACAGGAGGGAGGGGTCAGGAGAGCCTGCGGGAGACCCGTAAAGAGGAACATCCGGGCTGCTCTGTACAAAACTACTGCACACAGCAGGTAACTATAGACCATGTTTTTTTCCTAATGAAACAAAAAAAAAAGACTTTAGAAACATTTTAAGTGGTGTCAAAAGGTAATGATACACAGATATATTGGCCGCCGAAAGTTATCAATGTTTTGCTGGGGGAAAAAAAGGTGCCGCTAACGGACTTCAAAGCAAAACTGCGTTCGGTTGACTTCAGTGCAAAAATGCCCCCATTGACTTCAATGCACAACTGCATCCCGATTGACTTCGGTGCATGCGCGCGCCCCCCCCCCCATTGACTTGAATGCAAAAAAGCCTCTATTTAAGTTTTATTTAATTTTTTTTAAATTTTATATACATTTCATTTTTTTTTATGTTCAATTTTTGTGTTACTTTCAATAAGTATTTTATGTTACTGTATTGTGTTTTTTAAATTCATATTCATTTAAATTTGTGATATTAATTAAAGTTGAATACAATACAATTTTATATATATATATATATATATATATATATATATATATATATATATATATATATATATATATATATATATATATATATATATATATGAATGAAATTTTTTTTTAAAAAGTCTATTTTCAGCCAAGTGCCTCCTACTAAAAATGTTTACTGTGTTGTTGTGTTTTTTTTTTTTTTTTTTTCACTACTGTTTTGTAGCAGTATACAATTTTTTGACCTTTTTTTGTATTTTTTTTTTTTTTTTTTTTCTCTTTAGCAAAACACATCTTTGGAAGCAATTGTGCAGGTAGTGTATTGCTTGAATGTGATGTTTTTTATTGCTTGACCTTTTTTCATGTATTTAACAGTCTCCTCTTTTTACAGAATGCGTCTAGTGACCACCAAGGAATTCAACTTAGTGCTGTCCAGGCTGCAAGGTAAAACGTTTGTGCATAACAAATATAAAGGCCAAAACAGTTTGTAGACACCCCCTCCTCCCCATTACCCAAATCCTCACTTGTTGCTTTAAATTACTTTCTACTTATGGTTGGCTTTTTACAGGAAACTTTTATCCAGCGATCGGAATCCACCAATTGATGATTTGATTAAATCTGGAATTTTACCAATCTTGGTTCACTGTCTGGAAAGAGATGACAAGTAAGTTTGTTTATTCACAAGTTTCATAGTGCTTGGGCATACCTATTATTTTTTTTTTTTTTTTTTTTAATTGCTCATTGCCCATTTTTCTCTCCTCAGCCCTTCTCTCCAATTTGAAGCTGCTTGGGCTCTAACAAACATAGCTTCGGGAACATCTGAACAAACGCAAGCGGTGGTCCAATCACGTTAGTATATATATATTAGCTAAAAGAAATGAAGTTTAATGTTTCTGCTTTGTTGCCCAGTGTAAATTTCAGGCGGATTTTAAATAGGTGTTTAGCTTTGTTTAAATCTTCACCATCCGTCTTCTTTCCAAATAAGTTTTTGATCACATTTACTATATACCTGCAGTAGAATGCAGTTGAAGCAAACATTTTTCACCTTACCAATTCTTAGATGTTGTTGCAGTAGTTTTTGTTTTTTAGGCTTGCTTTCTTTTTCCTCTTAGTGATCTAGTCTGTTTTTCAACAGAACAAGATGTAGCAGTTAGAGGGTTGAGACAAACCATTTAACACCGAACAGGGATATTCGCGGCCGCAGCTGTCAATCACTGGGTCCCGGCCGGTGATTACTCGGCGGCGCCTGGCGATTTCCGACTATCTCCGATGGGGAGGAGAACTGTTTTGTTTACAGTTCTCCTCCCTGTCAGCTTGGGCACACTTCTTTGGATGGCTGTGCACAGCTTTCCAAAGCAGTGTGCTTACTGTGAAGCATTCTGACACGGCCCCCTATGTAAAACACTTCCAGCACACAGTTAACCCTTTGATCGCCCCTCAAGTTAACCCCTTCCTGCCCAGTGCCATGAGTACAGTCAGTGCGCTTTTTTTTAAATTGCGCAAAAAAAAAAAAAAAACTGCACAGGCAATCAAATGCCACTGAAAGCTCAATTAGTGGGAAAAAGACATACATTTTATTTGGGTGCAGCATTGCATGACCGCGCAATTGTCAGTTAAAGAAACGCAGCACCATAACGCAAAAAAGGTGAGGAAGGGGCGTAAATCCTGTAGAGGTCAAGTGATTAAGGCTTTGTTTACATGGGCATTAAAAGAAGTGAAACTCTCCTCAAACTCCTTGTAAAGCCGTATGCACTTGATAACATGGACAGCAGAGTGTTTTACATCATGTTGCGTTGCTACTCTTCAAAAATGAAGCTTCAACTCCTCCTTTCAGGTCTATGGTAACACAGCATAAGCTCAGTGGCATGTGTTTGCAGCGAGCTTGCGATGTTTTACAGCATTTTTGCAGGGAGTTGGACCTTGTTCACAGTAGTCAAGAAAAAACTGGCATCTGGGGTGTGTTTTATTGCTCATCAAACTCTCTTGTCAAAAGCACATAGGCCGTTTGCTGAGCATTTTTAACTCTCCTTAAGGGCCGGTTCACACCATGCCTCCATCAGAATCGCACAGGAATGTGCTGTGTGATTCACATGCGGCTCTGGGGTGCCAAAAGTAGTGCATGCACTACCCTTTAGAAACGTACTGTAACCGGATCGCATGGTACAAAAGTACCATGCAATCCGGTGTGGGCAAACGCACCATGTTTGCGACCTGCGTTTGGGGTGTTAACTTTCTATTGACACCCACTGCAGAAAGCAAAAGCAGTGCATGCTATGTAAGGTGCATATGAGTGCCAGTCAAAATAAATTGCATCAGCACAACAAATGTTCTTTAAGGTAACACAGCAATGTGAATGAGCCCTTTTAACGTTTTGTCTTAAACTGGGGTCAGCAACTCGTAGATCGCTGCCAGGCTACTGGTAGATCGCGGTCTGGCCTTGCTGATTTGTCATCCCAGAGCTTCCGACAGAGTGCAACGCAGAGGGACTATTTGTAAAGTCGGAGCTGTATTGGGTAACAAGAGCCAAATAAGCCGGTACCTCCTCTCTAGCGCTTGCTTCTGTCCCATGCGGAGTGATATCAACTGCACTCCACCTCTTATCCCAGCTAGTGGTTTCCAGAGTGCTGCCATCAGCGGGAAAGGAAGAGATCTTCAGGTCAGTGTGAAGCAATACACAGAGCATAATAGTATAGGGCTGCTTTCACACTTATGCACTGCAGTTTATACATACCGCGGGTGCAGTGTGCGTGCAGCATTCCTGCTGGTTTGCTGCGCTTAGACTTCTATTATATCTTGCAGGTGTGGTGCACTTTCTGAAAGTGCACCACACCTGCAGGATGTAATAGTTTATAGCAAAGCGCAGCTAACCCAGGAAAGGTGGAGATGCAATGCGTTGCACACATTGTGCTGTGGTTTACCTGCACTTTCGTGTGAAAGCAGCCTTATAGGGGGCTCAGAACAGTAAGGGTTCATTTACATTTTCAGTTTGGGGGGTGGTAAAATCCTATAGTGTACAAAGAAACAATAAGAATGAGCACTATTGCTAAAGGCTACAAAATGGTGCTAGACCAACTGAATATCCAAATGCTCCAAATAATTGACAAAGGGACAAATAAGCTGCTTAAAATTTAATTAAAGGAACACTTTTTTAAATCGGAGTATAGTATCAAGTCGATTAAATTGCTGGGATATTGATCTGGTCAGTTAAGTAGCAGAGGGTGTTAATCAGTTTCAGCTGCTTTGGTGTTATTGAAATTAGCAGGTGCACTAGATGGGCAACAATTAGACGACCCCCAAAACAGGAATGGTTTTACAAATGGTGACCACTGACTTTTTTTTCTCTACTCCTTTTTTCTGACTGTTTTTTCACTAATTTGGCTAGGGCCAGTGTCACTACTAGTAGCATGAGGCAATACCTGGACATTAGAGGTTGCACAGGAATTCCAACTCCTCCAGGATTGCACATCAATACATGCCATTGCCAGAAGGTCTGTTGTGTCTCCCAGTACAGTGTCAAGAGCATGGAGGAGATTCTAGAAGACAGGCAGTTACTCTAGTGAGAGCTGGACAGGGCCACAGAAGGTCCTTAACCCATCAGCAGAACCGGTATTTGCTCCTTTGTGCAAGGAGGAACAGGATGGGCACTGCCAGAGCCCTACAAAATGACCTCCAGCAGGCCACTGGTTTAAATGTCTGACCAAACAATCAAAAAACAAACTCCATGAGGGTGGCCTGTGGGCCCTGTGCTCACTGCCTGGCACCATAGAGCTTGATTGGCATTTGCCATTGAACACCAGAAGCCGTGGAGAACATTATGCTGCCTGTAGCATTGTTCAGCATGACACTTTTGATGGTGGTGGGTCGGACATGGTCTGGGAAGGCATATCCATGGAGAGACGCACAGACTGCTACAGGTTAGACAATGGCACCCTGACTGCTATTAGGTATCGGGATGAAATACTTGGACCCATTGTAACCCTATGCTGGTGCAGTGGGTCCTGCGTTCCTCCTGGCTGTGCAGGTAATGCCTGGCAACACTGTGCTCGGTGACCTTTGACTTCTCCCATGTTGTTCAGGTAGATCTCCACCTGTTCAAGGTTGCCTACCCCTGATCTAAAGCTAAAATCTTTAGTTTTGGAAGAGATGAGGGTTAGAACTTCTTTAGGGTTTTAGCAGTCTGTGTCCCCATTGGGGAAAATTCACCCCCTTTAAATTTTCGTCACCAGAGCAGGAATAGAGTGGAATTCTTTCTTTAGGGAAACTTATTTCAGCGGCATATAAGGTGGTATCCCTTACTTTGGAGAGATTTCTTCTATCTGCAGAAACTAATGGGAGACAGATGGCAAGATTACCTCAAAAGGATTTCAAACATTCTCTCTTCCATCCAAAATGCAGATGGTTTTGATTGTATTCACATTCTTTTTAAAATCTTACGCGCTACTATAGATCAAAATTCAAGTGCATCTAGAAATGTGTGAAAATAACACTCCAAAATACATTTATAGCTGCTATACCACAAAACCCTATCTCATATGGGGGCAAAATCAATGAATAAATAAAAATACCGAGCAGCGCTACACATCATAAATTAAATAGCGAATACTAGAAGTGATAATCATATACAAGTCCCAAAGAAATTGCTTCTGAATGGAATATCCTTCCTCCTGTGAACACCTGGTGCTCCAACCACAAAAAAAGTGCACAATTCCTCCACCATATATCTGCTCCCCTCCAGCAGTGCGATCTCACATGTATAATGCTCGGTCAAATCACACTTTTGGTCTCATAATGGACTCTGAAGATCAATTTGATGAGAATGGATCTCAATGACTCGCTTCATCAGCAGCATTCCTCATAAATAAAAAAACTTCACATAGTGTTTACCCTTTAAAAAGCTTTAAAACAAAAACTTCCACATATGTACTCACATGTGACAGGTGCCAGACCGCAACAAGTGTGGAAAACCTCCAATGAATATCTCCACAATCTTAAGAAATATGTGCCTTCCGAGTCGGCTACAATTGACTACAGCAGTATGTGCTCCAGCATGACACCAGGTCATAAGAAAACCATGTGACACAATAGCCACCAGGGCCCTATAGGTGTTACCAGTGTGTCCCACGATCTGCAGAGTCCTGGAGAGATGTACACCACTGCTATTAAAAACTCCTTGTGTCATGACGTCATCCACAAGCTCTTGTCTGACACGTTTCGTCACCGATCGTGTGACTTTATTAATGGGACCTGATTGGGCCATCCAATCCTATTTAACCTTATATATAGACTCCCAACGCCATTTTGTTGAAGACCAATTAGGGCGCAGCATATTAGAGACGTTAAAATCCCATCTCTCACATTAGGAGTGGGTATAAACTACCTATGCTAAACAATCGTCAATCGGATTGACCGTCATTCACAGCACAGATTCCCATAAGATTTGGAACTAATAGAATTGCCAAAATGATTATAAATCTCTCTCCTGGTGTAAAACTTATACAGCCATGGATAACACCTTAATGCATACCAAATATATATTCCTACCACAAGGGTGATCCATAATATAAAATACAAAATCTAATATATACCGTATTTTTCGCTCCATAAGACGCACCTGACCATAAGACGCACCTAGGTTTTAGAGGCAGAAAACAGGAAAAAAAAAATTCTGAACTAATGGACTGCAGACACAGTACAAGAGATGACCAGAGACTGCGGACAGTACAAGAGATGACCAGAGACTGCGGACAGTACAAGAGATGACCAGAGACTGCGGACAGTACAAGAGATGACCAGAGACTGCGGACAGTACAAGAGATGACCAGAGACTGCGGACAGTACAAGAGATGACCAGAGACTGGACAGTACAGATGACTGCTGACCTTTGGGGAGGTGGGGAGCGGGTACCTGAATTTGACAGGTACCCGCTCTTACTTCCGCAGAGTTTTTGTTTGATCTTACCTGTTCCTCGATCCAGCCGCGCGCTGTCTTCCCGGCTTCTGTAATGGCGCTCGGCATGACAGCCGGGTGCCCGGTGCGCATGAGCGAGAAGCACTTGCGCTTTGTGATTGGTCCAGCGGCTTCTGGGATCTGTCATGTGTCCCAGGTACCGCCTTACCATTCACAAAAAGCACCGCTTCTTGCGCATGCGCACTTGGCACCCGGCTGTCATGCCCAGTGCCCACACTACAGAAGCCGGGAAGACAGCACGCCGCTGGATAGAGGAACAGGTAAAATCAAAGAACAAAGTAAGCGGGTACCTGTCAAATTCAGGTACCCGCTCCCCACCTCCCCAAAGGTCAGCAGGCATCTCCATAAGGTCCCGCTGCAGAGCTGAGCGGCCGACCCGGTATTCTGACGCGGCGGTGGATACCGGACCGGCCGCTCCATATTCGCTCCATAAGACGCACTGACATTTCCCCCCCTTTTTTGGGGGGGGGGGAAAAGTGCGTCTTATGGAGCAAAAAATACGGTAATTATAACCATAATGATTATGGTCTCACTGCTGGAGGTGAGCAGACGTCTGGCGGAGGAACTGTGTATATTTTTTTTTGCGGTTGAAGCACCAGCTGTTCACAGGAGGAAGGATATTCCATTCAGAAGCAATTTCTTTGGGACTTTTGTATGATTATCACTTATAGTATTCACTATTTAATTATTAGTGTATGATGTGTAGCGTTGTACGGTATTTATTTACACATTCTTGTTTTTATTTCGCATTGGCGCCTCTCCCTCATTGTTGGCACATGATTAAAATATATAAATGTTAACCTTTAGTGCAAGCAGTGACCAATGATAATGGATGTTTTTTGTGCCTCCTGTATTTAACATATTGGGTTTTTTTTTTTTTTTTTTTCAAACTTTAGATGCGGTTCCTCTTTTCTTGAGGCTTCTGCATTCTCCTCATCAGAATGTATGTGAACAAGCTGTGTGGGCATTGGGGAATATAATTGGTAAGTATTACCTATTTCTTCTTCGTCGTCGTCGTCGTCTTCTTCCTTCTTCTTCTTCTTCCTTCTTCCTTCTTCTTTCTTCTTTCTTTCTTCTTCTTTCTTTCTTCTTCCTTCTTCTTTCTTCTTTCTTCTTCTTCTTTCTTTCTTCTTCTTCTTTCTTCTTTCTTCTTTTTCTCTTTTTCTTCTTTCTTTCTTCTTCTCTTCTTTCTTCTTCTTCTCTTCTTTCTTTCTTTTTCTTCTTCTTTTTTTCTTTCTTCTTCTTTCTTCTTCTTTCTTTTCTTTCTTCTTTCTTCTTTCTTCTTTCTTTCTTCTTTTCTTCTTCTTTCTTTCTTCTTCTTCTTCTTCTTCTTCTTTCTTCTTTCTTCTTTCTTCTTCTTCTTTCTTCTTCTTCTTCTTTTCTTCTTTCTTCTTCTTCTTCTTCTTCTTCTTCTTTTTCTTCTTCTTCTTCTTCTTCTTCTTCTTCTTCTTCTTCTTCTTCTTCCTTTCTTCTTCTTCTTCTTCCTTCTTTCTTCTTTTTTCCTTTCTTCTTTATTATTATTTTTCGATCTACTGTGTCCTGTTTGTTTTACTCCTTTGAATGAAGTTGGCCTGGAATGTTGGTGTCTGTTGCAATTAAAGTGTATGCCATCCAGAATATTTTTTTTTCATGTGTATTCGCATATATTTTATAAATCGTAGTTTCCATCATTTTCATGTACTTCATTACCTGCAAGTCTCCTTTTCTTCCTTAATCTAAAATGATCACAAAGCACAGAATCCTATTTGCATGGTCTGATTGCATCCTTTGGCCGACCTTTCAGAGCAGAGGTACAGGACTGTATTGGCTAGTTTGTAAAGCCATCTCGCCCCCTGGCCAATCATAGTTTGCCTCTGGTACAAACCCCTTCCCAATCAATCTGCCTCTAAAACACTCCTACATGCGCAGCCATCATCTTGCCTCAGGCTGAACACATTATGAAATACAGGCACAGTGCCCTTGTGACCCTGACCCTAGGTCCCCCCCCACACACACACACACCACCACCACCAAAAATCAGGAAGAAGAAATGCATGATCACATGACAGAACTTTATAACCTTGTAAAGAAAAAATGTTTGAAACTAAGCAAAAACTGTTATGGTGCCTGCATAGTTGTAACTGTATTAGTAAGTATCTAACATTGTATGTTCACAATTACTTTAATTTCCTGTTATGGTGAACAGGTGATGGGCCTCAGTGTCGGGATTATGTTATCAGCCTTGGAGTGGTCAAGCCTTTGCTGTCTTTCATCAGCCCCACTATTCCCATTACCTTCTTGAGAAATGTCACCTGGGTAATGGTAAATCTGTGTCGCCATAAAGATCCTCCTCCACCTATGGAAACCATACAGGAGGTAATGTACCAGTTTACAACAGTTAAGAATGCATGGCAGATATATTAATTTGGAAACTATTTTGCTCTTGGAAATGATGACATGGAGATATCGGGGTGTTGTGAGAATGGGTATATATTAATGTAATGTTTTTAGCCTATACCTTTTAAAAATTTATATACATATAAAGAAGTTAAGTGTGAGTGTTTGGGATGTGTGTTGGGTTATACAAGGGGACTCTGAAATTGGATTACATTGCTGATTTCGGAGTGCATCTGAGGACTGTTGCAAACTAAAGGGCTTTCATGCAGCAATTCCTGTGATTATGGCCCTTTGTGGGGTTTCCTTGATAACCTTTTAAACCGTAAATCTCTAACAGATATGCTTTACATTGTGTATCTGTGATCTGACCAAAGACCAGTTCCCCCATTTATTTTGGAATGCATTTTAAATTCTTGAGTAATTGTTTTATTTGGTAATCTGTATCTCTTATAGATTCTTCCAGCGCTGTGTGTCCTTATCCACCACACAGATGTAAATGTAAGTATCCAAATAAGTGCTGTATGGTTTTTGTTTTGTTTTATTTTTCATAATCTAGCCCCTAGTTTCTCTTGGTGACTGTACTGAATAACTCACACTGGTTTACATACAACTTTTAGAGATGTGTATAACTATTAAAGATGATTATTTCTTAGAACTTAAAAGTAGCAAACTACTGGTGCTTGTATAATGCTCCATCATTTTCAGAATGAGTAAGGAGATCAAAGCACACATAGTAGAGTCCTATTCTGTGATTAATTAGGAATGTTTATTCATGAATACGTGGTCTAGGGCAGAAACAAACTGCGAATGATACTAGAAAAAGTAAATAGACTTATTCTAACATTGACGGGTCAAAATCTTCACAAGAAAACTAGCATGTTCAGTAGGACCTTAGCAATGGCAGTCTCCAAAAATCACTTTCCAAATATAAATTCAGTTATTAAAATATCAGCTTAAAAATGTTTATGTAATTAAGTCCTTTTTTTCTTTTTTAAATTCTGAAGCTTTCAATCAAATTCCTAGTCATTTTTGCTGTAAAGGTTCTTACTCAGAGAATTCTATTATAAAAGGTAATAGCGCATTGTCGCTGTCTCCCAGTTAATCTGCATCTTCACCTTGTCACATGGGCTTCTAATCACGCAGGCGGCTTCAACAGATGCATTACACCAGTGGTTCTCAACCTTTCTAATGCCGCGACCCCTTAATACAGTTCCTCATGTTGTGGTGACCCCCAACCATAAAATTATTTTCGTTGCTACTTCATAACTGTAATTTTGCAGTGGGAGGAATAGTGCCCCATCGTTGGCGTCAGCGGGGGGAGGAATAGTGCCCCATCGTTGGCGTCAGCGGGGGGGGAGGAATAGCGCCCCATCGTTGGCGTCAGCGGGGGGAGGAATAGCGCCCCATCGTTGGCGTCAGCGGGGGGAGGAATAGCGCCCCATCGTTGGCGTCAGCGGGGGGAGGAATAGCGCCCCATCGTTGGCGTCAGCGGGGGGAGGAATAGCGCCCCATCGTTGGCGTCAGCGGGGGGAGGAATAGCGCCCCATCGTTGGCGTCAGCGGGGGGAGGGATAGCGCCCCATCGTTGGCGTCAGCGGGGGGAGGAATAGCGCCCCATCGTTGGCGTCAGCGGGGGGAGGAATAGCGCCCCATCGTTGGCGTCAGTGGGGGGAGGAATAGTGCCTCATCGTTGGCGTCAGTGGGGGGAGGAATAGTGCCCCATCGTTGGCGTCAGTGGGGGGAGGAATAGTGCCCCATCGTTGGCGTCAGTGGGGGGAGGAATAGTGCCCCATCGTTGGCGTCAGTGGGGGGAGGAATAGTGCCCCATCGTTGGCGTCAGTGGGGGGAGGAATAGTGCCCCATCGTTGGCGTCAGTGGGGGGAGGAATAGTGCCCCATCGTTGGTGTCAGTGGGGGGAGGAATAGTGCCCCATCGTTGGTGTCAGTGGGGGGAGGAATAGTGCCCCATCGTTGGTGTCAGTGGGGGGAGGAATAGTGCCCCATCGTTGGTGTCAGTGGGGGGAGGAATAGTGCCCCATCGTTGGTGTCAGTGGGGGGAGGAATAGTGCACCATCGTTGGTGTCAGTGGGGGGAGGAATAGTGCCCCATCGTTGGTGTCAGTGGGGGGAGGAATAGTGCCCCATCGTTGGTGTCAGTGACACAAATGATGGGGCACTATCCCTTCCACTGACACCAATGATACTTACCTTGCTGACTCCTGCTCCAGCCTGGGCTCGCTCTCTCCCTCTCCCATCTACAGCCTGCATACCTGGCTGCAGCAGCAAAATTTGCACTTACCTGTCAGCTGTCTTCCTTCTCTGGCCTCTCTCTTCACTCGTTCCTGCAGCTCCCTCAATCTTCTTCGATCTCCGCGCGCTGCCGCTCGGCTCCTCCTCTCCAAGCTCCACCTTCTCGCCGGTGATTGGCCGCCTGTGTGCCTCTCCTGAGCTACAGTTCCGGTGGCCAATCAGCGGCGAGGAGGCGGTGACAGGGGCAGCATATCATCCCGCCCACACATCGCCGGAGACAGCAGCGGTGTCTCGGTTCCTAAGACCATCGGAAATATGTTTTCGATGGTCTTAGGCGACCCCTGGGAAATGGTCGTTCGACCCCCAAAGGGGTCGCGACCCCCAGGTTGAGAACCGCTGCATTACACAGACATGGTTTACTGTTGTCATCAGGAAACCCACCCTAAAATGCCATGTAGCTGGAGTACATAAATGTAAACCGGAAAAGCACAACAAACATGGCAACTGTTTTATAATACACTGTCTATAATATTCCGTTAGGGTTTCACTTACCCTTAAAAGGTAATTTCCACTTGTGCAGTCAAATTTGAGGGAACCCCACAATGTGTTTGTGTTCCCATTCAATTAGTAAATAAAATACCATTTTAGATATTTCTAAGGTGGTGTTATGGCCAAGTCAAAGAATTTCTGGACAGTCTTACGGTGTATTGTCCTCATACAGTGAGATGTACCACCTTTAACCTACAATACAGGGAAGTTTTTTAAGCCTCATGCACACTGGGCGTTTAAAAGGCCATTTTTTTTCTTTTTTCTTTTTCCCTTGCCCCTATATACCGCTCAATGTTAGCCTATGTGTCTATACACAAGTGAGTGTTTGGAGGCAGGAAAACAAAACCTACTACCAGTACATTCAGGAGCAGCACCATGTTGGCAGCAAAAATGCTTGACATGTCTGCATGTGTAATCGCGTCTAAATAAATGTTAACGCTAGGCACGTTTAACACTTGAGTGTGACTTTATTTCAGTGACCAGAATAAAATATTCTGTCCAATACAATGAATTGGCACCCAAGTGCTTGATGCACCTAAATGTGTTTTACAAAAATGTGGCTTTAGGTGTGCTTTTGATGCTGCTTTTCTCCTGCCAGGAGAAAGGCGTTCAGGAGAGCTGGACAAACGCTCGGTGTTCATGAGGCCTTAATTTTAAGCCTTTGAACAGTGTTCAAATCCAATTTTAAATGTGTAAAATGCTGACTGACCATCAGCCACTGAGACTGCATAGTTTTTGAGGAAAAAACCTGCTCAAGTCCTTTGCCATCATTCATTCCCAAACTGACCATTTCAGCACTTGATGGGGTACGCAACACATTGAAACTACCTCGGTCTCTCCCAGCGTTCTTCCGAATTTGGTATTCTTTTAGAACTTGTAAAGCTGACAAGACCTTCCCAGTACTCCTGCTGTTCTTGGTCTTCCTTTATAAAAAAAAAAAAAAAACTGTAAGCATACTGGCAAGGTTTCTGCACCTTCTAAGCACTTATCAGTCCTGTACAAATTGGAGGACTTTCTTAAATATCTTTTTAATGAAGCATTTACAATCCCAGTTGAGGGTACACCTGTCATTAAGGACCCCACCAATGGGGCAACAATAGATGTTGTCTTGTGTAGTCATCCTCTCTAGCAGGTCTTGCTTTCTACCCTCCCCTTGCTGTGACCCTAATTATCAAAACCTAGTTGACTGGTCCAGGGCTATTAGTAGGGATCTGATCACTTTGGCAGTTTATACCCTGTTATGATACCTTTTGAACTAATGCTTTCAGCATTCAGATACATATTGGCTAGATCTTATTTTTCGAATAAACTTCCTGTCAATGAACTTGAGGTAGAATCTTTGTCTAAAGTGTTTGACTGCATCTAAAACGCTCTTGACCAACATTGCCTTTGAGGGACAACACCTCTTCAGGGATGTCTAGGATGCCCTCAAGGATGCTATAGGTGGCAAGAGCTCTCGCCTTTCTCAGCCAAAAAAAAAAGGCTTAGTCTGGGAAGGCTCACACCTCACTGGATCCCAGCAAAAGTCCTCAGTTACTCCAGAGCCTCTGATTTCATGTCTCCCAAATCCCCGACAAGTCTTCAGCATGAACAGGTACACTCCCAATTGCCATAGTAGGGGGTGTCTGTTGACCTTTATAGACCCTTGGACAGCCTGCATTGTCTATGCTTGGGTGCAGTAGGTGGTTTTCAGGGAGGCTACAAGCTAGCATTTCACTCCCAACCCCCTCCACTGGTCATCCCTTTCAGCTTGTCTGTCGCTGCACAGATTAGCAGATCTCCATGCAGCCTTAGCAAATCCTTTGGAACAGGTTGCCATTGCCGCAGTCCCTGTGGCAGTATAGTTTGTTTTTTATTAAGAGTTTAACAGACAAAAATATACATACACATCTTAAGGCTCCGTGCACACTGTTTTTTAAGCTGCTAGAAGCTGTTATCAGCATTTTTTTCTTCTGCCCCTAGACGCTAAATATTATCCTATGTATCCATGCACACCATTTTAGGCTAGTGGCGTTTTTTAAGCTTCATTGTTTAGGAGCAGAAAAAAAAGGTTTTTTTTGGGAGTGTTTTTCTGGCATAAAAAAGTGAAACTACGCACTTAACAGTTTTTTGGGGTTTTTTTTAGCCTTTGGACTTCTGTGACCATCAAGCATGTGAATATGCATGTCACAATTTTTCCAGTGCATCAGCGATTTGTTTAATTTTTGTTTTCTTTTCTCACTTTGCTGTGGGTCTTCTGAACTCTAGTTTGTGCCCCTGCCAGTGAAGTCTGTTTTCTGCACCTTGGGTATTCAGCAAGGTGCTTTAGTACTAGTGCTACTTTGCTTTCTGGTTATTCCCATTGTTTGATGTCCTAGATGACCTCCTGCTGAAGAAACAGTCGGTGCAGTTTTTAGCAGCAGTGTAGCCCTGACCATCCAGACCCAACCCCAGGAAAAACCTCAATCTCCTCTCCCAGACTGTTACTGTTTAGTACAGAGGTCACATCATCGAGTTCTTCACTTCTGCGTGAGTCCTGGGGCTAATGTTAGCCTCACAGTTTAAGGAGACTTATCCTGTAAAGAACACTTTCAGTTCTTGTTATTCCACAGGGACAAGGTGCTGTTGGGGCCCAGAACTTCCTTCTTAACTAAGGTAGTTGCAAAAGTCTTTCCTCTTAACCAGGTCATCGTCCTTCCATTCCTGCATTGCCTGTATGTTATAGCTGTGAATTTCTCACGGCCTCTGCTTACTTTTGTTATTGAAACTCTCCCCTTCCAGATTTGTACTCTTTAGTTCCCCTGTGTGTGAACCAGCTTTTCATTCCAGCATTTTTGGTGGCTTAGAGAGAGCATAATCAAAGCCTGTGGGCTTAAGGAAAGGGTTCCACCCTACTACTGGATCCGTACACAACTTGGGCTCTCTGGCATCATATAAACTTTTTCCAGATTTGCGAAGCTGCCACTTGGTCCTCTTTTTACAGTTTCCAAGGTCTCTTCGGATGCCGGTTTGGGGAGTTGGGTTCTTTTAGGCAGCTTGTGTTGGGTGTGGGGTTTTTGTTTTTTGGGGGTTTTTTTTGCTTGTTAGCATTTTGCTTGCTGTGATTTACCCCTCAATTGGACCACTTTTTAATTTTTTTCTGACTGATTTCCTGTGTCCTTTTCTTAGAATGCACTTGTGTGTTTATAATCATGCTGTTGGTACTGCCTACTTGGAGGAGGTGTTGCATGCTGACCTACAAAATTGTTTGCCAGTGTCCAATCCCCCTGTAGGTGGCAGTATAACTTGACAGTATCTGACCTCCTGTGTCCATCAGTGAACTCCAAGAAAAGGACTTCGAGCACGAAACAAAAATGAGTGCATGTAGCAAACCTAAGGATGAGTTAAACATTTTTTTAACAGATTACCTTCTTTATTCCTAGATTTTGGTAGACACTGTTTGGGCTCTTTCCTATTTAACGGATGCTGGTAATGAACAAATACAGATGGTAATAGACTCTGGAATCGTGACAAACCTGGTTCCTCTTCTAAGTAACCCAGAGGTGAAAGTGCAGGTGAGCCCTACAAATATCATACAGAACACATTTCTGTTAAAGTATTTTCTAGCAATACTAAATTGCTGCTTTCCTTTCTTCCAGACTGCTGCTTTAAGAGCTGTAGGTAACATTGTCACTGGCACAGATGAGCAAACGCAAGTTGTTCTGAACTGTGATGCTCTGTCACACTTCCCAGCCTTGCTTACTCATGTAAAGGAAAAGATTAACAAGGTAGGTACTTCTCACTTTCTGTACATGTGTGTACTTTGCATCAATTAAGAGTACATTTTCATTTCTCTGGAAAGGCCTTGAACACAGATCTTTGCTTGCGCAAGTTTCTGTAGCACTCTTTTATTATCACATTTTAAGTATTTATAACATTGTTCTATAATTTTTACTACACATTACCTTTAAGAGAATTTTAGCTGAAGATTTTTGCCAACAGAGGACTTTGTATAATGTCATCCAGATTATGAATACTAAAATTTAGAGCTTGTTTACCTTGTGCGGTGACTGGCATTTTTATCCAGTGCAAAGAAAAGCCAGTCACCGCAAGGGCACAAAGAACACAGTGGTTTCTATGTGACCCATTCGCATCATAATGCTGGTGTGATGTGTAGTACAGAAATATGTATACATGCTACATTTTTCCACAGCGTGCTGCATTTCACCGCTCTGCAGCACAACACCACACTGCTGAGTGCAGATGTAAATTAAGTACAGAGTTGGAAGAAAGGTGTGAAGTGCTGAATCACATATCCCACCACTCCTTGCCAGGCGTCACACAACAGCTGTCTGCGCCTTTAAAATGTTAAATTTTGCATTTTACTGTGTGGGCTAGTGTGAACCCTTTACCACTTCGATTGGATATTAGGCTGTAACTCTAGCTAAAATATTTTAGACTGGGGAAAGAGTTGGAGCCTCTGAAGAAATTCTGTTCATTTCCTATGTAGATGACACCACCGGAAGTGGAAATTTCCCCAATATGCACTCCTAAAACTGAGTCTTAACCCTTCCCAAATCCACCAAAAAAGGCTAGAGTTTTTATGTTAACAGCTTATTGTTACTTTGTTTCATATTGACATCCTATGGTTGCATTTTATGAATATGTATGATTTGATATTCAATATGTATATATTGCAGGAGGCAGTCTGGTTTTTGTCCAACATCACGGCCGGAAATCAACAACAAGTTCAAGCTGTTATTGATGCTAACCTTGTGCCAATGATCATACACTTATTGGATAAGGTAAAGTTGACTGATGTTTTTATTTTTAAGTATCCCAAACATGAAGTATATCTTTAGTTTTTTTGTTTTTTTTTTCTTTCTTCACAGGGTGACTTTGGAACTCAGAAAGAGGCTGCATGGGCAATAAGCAATTTAACAATCAGTGGAAGGAAAGATCAAGTGAGTAACTTTTCTTTGTCTTTACAGTTTTCTGAGCATTTCATAAGAGACCTTCAATGGCTCAAGTTCATATAATATAAAGATTTTTGAAATGTATGCACCATTTCCAAATTAGACATAGCAGCTGGCAGTGAAGGCTGTGTATTGATTAGGACAGGGGTCTACAAACTTTTCAGGACATGTGCCACATTGTATATTAGAAATATTTGTGATCCTAAAAAAAATCTGTTTAATCAATAAATCTGTGTCCCCATCAGACAGACCCTCTATAGATTCTCCATTACCACTGTAAGGTTTATAGAATGCCTGTAGCAGGAGGCGGAGCATGTCTGGTCCCTCCTTCTGTGGATGTTGGGGTAATAAACGATTGATTGCTAGGACGCCAGAAGGGAGAAGTGGAGACTATAGTTATCTTACCCTAACGTAGTTCAAAGATCCCTGGATTAGAACAATATTAGGAATGGACTCGCTTGTAATTTTTAAAGATGGGCTTTTTCAACAAGCGGTTTCTCATGTGTGATATGTCTATAAGCCTGCCACAGAATGTGAATGCAAGAAGTAAATCTCTTTTGAATGGGTCATATATAGGCAGATTTTTTTCAGGAGCTTTGTAAATTAAATATTGTGTAATCAAACCATGAAGCTTCTTTTTATGCAGGCAAAAATAAAAAATTATCTCGTTTACCACGAAGCCCGTAAGATTTGGATAGGATAAATACTTCTCAAGGTGAATTGTAGCTGTGTGATTTTTCTCTAGGAGCCTTCAAGAGACTGTCTGTCTAAATGTGTGTTTGCTTTCTTGTCACTATAGCAAAACTATAGTTTAAAAACTGAGAGGAAAGTGTAGTCATTACTGTGTAAAATGTAACCTATCGTAGCTAAATCAACTGGTGAGTAATGGCTTTTTTTTTTTTTTTTTTTTCTTTCAAATCAGCTGGATGAGGTTTGTGATTTAATTGTGACGGTTTTATATTTTTTAGGTGGCATATCTTATCCAACAGAATGTAATTCCTCCTTTCTGTAATCTGCTGACTGTAAAAGATGCCCAGGTCATACAAGTAGTGTTGGACGGTTTAAGCAATATATTGAAAATGGCAGATGATGAGGCTGAGACCATAGCCAACCTTATTGAGGAGTGTGGAGGTATGTTATACATGCAGACTGGCTTTGCTTTTATCCCTATTACTTTTGCCTTGCCTTCAGTGAGTTTTCTTATTTTTCACTGAATAATTTCCATTGGTTTGAAGTGACAGACTCCAGTAATGAAGTGATTGTTAAAGCTAATTATCTTTCTGCTTTTAGCCAAGACATTCAAGTTTAGAAGTAGACAGAGGAATACAGCTTTACTTAAAGCAGAGCTCCAGCCAAAAGGGGAAATGCTGCATTAAGTCCTCCTCCTTCACTCCTGTTTGTGAAATGGAGGTTTTGGAGAGGAAGGGGGAATGGGTACCTGATTTTTGATTTTTAGTGCCAGGAGACTAGTATTGGTGGCTTTTTGTGAGAGGCTTTTTAAGCATCAATGACAAGCAAAAATAGCTCTGCTCAATCATCTCCCTGAAGACTAACTATAGCCCATCCCCTAAACAGAACCAAACTCAGCCTAAAAAAATTGCTTAACCCCTTTGCGCCGGCCGCGCACAAATGTGCGGCCTCCCGGCGTCTGGGCCTAGACGCCGAGCGGCCGCACATTTGCGTCCATGTAACTAAATACATATGTGCTGAGAGCGCGCGCCCTGCGCGCTCCCAGCACACGTGTGGTACTCACGGAAAGGTCCCGGTCCGCTCTTTCGAACGGGACCTTTCCCGATCATGTGACCGCCGTGACGCGTCATCACGGCGGTCACATGATTCCTAAGCCACCACGCCCCAACCGCCCCGCCTCCCGGCGTCTGAATCTCTTAAAGGGCCGGGAGGCATCGGCGGGAAGGGGTTAAAGTAACATAGCTGAAGTGCTGACAACTTGGAATTTACCTACAAGTGCTTGTGTTGGCCTTCGTTATTATTCCTTGTTGATCTCATGAATCTTAGAATGCCAGTGGAGAGGATTGCTTCTCCAGCCATATAATCATTTTATGTCATCGTTCAGTGCATGTTTGGATTGCATGTTTAGGCACTTTTTTAGCCACTTTAAGTTAAAGTGATTCTAAAGTCTTCATTTAAAAAAAAAAATGTTTATACTTGCTGTGTGCAGTGGTTTTACACAGAGCAGCCCGGATCCTCCTCTTCTTGGGACATCGCTGGATCAAGAGGGGGCTTAGGTGAGTATTAAGGGGGGCTAGGGGGGATGCTGCACAGAGGTTTTTTTTTTACCTTCATGCATAGAATGCATGAAGGTAAAAAAAACCTTGAGCCTTTAGAACCACTTTAATGCTTTCTATAATCCATTTGAAATGTAGGTGTTGAAGGTATTTACCCATGCATAAAGTGGAGCAGAGAGGCTCAAAGCCAAATGCGTAGTTCTTCAGATAAAATTACAAAGTAAATAACAAATTACTAAATAAATTTTGAGCCAAGTTACAGCTTTGTAAATTTGTGGTAATTTTTTTTTGTTTTCTTTAGTAATATAAATGGACACATTATATACAGTGAATGAAATAAGTATTTGATCCCCTGCTGATTTTGAATGTTTTCCCAAACAATCGGTTGGTTTGTTTGCTCCTGTGGACAGGTGTCTTTTATACAGGTAACAAAATGAGATTAGCAGCACTCCCTTTAAGAGACTGCATCTAATCTCAGCTTGTTACCTGTATGAAAGGCACCTGTTAGCCAGAAATCCAGCTGAATGATGGGGGATCAAATACTTATTTCCCTCATGAACATGCAAATCAGTGCATCATTTGTTAGACATGCATTTCTTTTGAATTTTTTGTTGCTATTCTGTCTCTCAGTGTTACAATACACCTACCATTCGATTATTAGACTGATCATTTCTTTGTGAGTGGGCTAACATTCAAAATCAGCAGGGGATCAAATACTTATTTCCTTCACTGTATGACCCTCATTCAGTGTTTTTTTGTGTTTTTTCGTTTTTTTTTTTTTTTTCTTTTTCCCCCTTTGGTTGCTTTTATTTTGGGGGGGGGGGGTGAATTCTTTTGATTATTTTTTTTGGAGGGGTTTGGTTTGTTTATTGTATAATAGTATTTCCCCCTCCCCTTTTTAAACAGGTCTGGAGAAGATTGAACAGCTGCAAAGCCATGAGAATGAAGATATCTACAAACTGGCTTTTGAAATAATTGACCAGTTTTTCTCATCAGATGTAAGTTCAATGCCAGTGTTGCTAAATTTGTCCAGACAAGCTAAAATGTGAAATGTTAATTTACCAATTGCACAATAAATGCTGCACACAGAACAACTTTGCAGGCACTTTCAAGTAACTTAAGAGTGCTACATTGATTTTGCCTTTCTTTGTGATTGAAAACTGTTGTGTGCAAGAGCAAAAGTCTATCTAGAATGGAACTTCTGCATTTCTTTTACCCCTTTTTAACTGATTGTGTGTGGATGTGTACATCCTTTTCAGCAGCTAATTTTCTACGAGAGAAAAGTGATTCAAGTGGCTGTGCTGCTGCCCAATCACTTTTACAGGCAGTGAAAAGGGGTTTTGTCACTTTTGGTTTGTTTACAAGCTGTTGCTGGTTTGTAAAGCAGCTGATCAAACTGATCTTGGTCTGATTGGCTGCTTTGGAGAGCAGAGGAGAGATCTGGAGTCTAATGGACCCCAGATCTCTCCATAAAGAGGACCTTCTCAGTGTCAATGCTTTCACAAGGGATGATGTTCATCCCTTGTGACAGCAATAGAGTTCAATAAAATTAAAAAGTCAGTGTAAGAAAACAAAAGCCTCTGTTCTGCCATGCTCGCCCCCATATGCAAACGCGTGGAGGTTTTTCCTACATTTGTAAACGGTGATTGCACAACACTTGAGGTATCATCACTGACATCACAGTGAGAGTAATCATTCTAATGCCAGGCCTCCTGTAAAACTTGAAACTGGTAACCTTTAAATGCTTTTAAAGCTTCACCTATGGAGATTTTTAGGTTCTTTAATTTGTTGCTGTTTGTGGCATACGCAATAATAAAGTATCTATCTACACAGTGTAACCGCTTTTATATTTTACTGAAAAATTTGGAAATTTTGTTTGTGTGCACTAAAATTCATTAGGGTTTTTGTCCTCAAAATTTACATTTGGTGGCTGTTGCAATTTTTTCTCACGATATTTGCACAGCAGTTTATAATTTTGTTCTCCAGGAAACTTTTCTTTCAGGGGGAAAAATATATATATACATATATATATATATATACATACATACACACAATTTGGGGTTCTATGTAATTTTCTTGCAAAAAATGTAGATTTTTTTTTTTTTATACAGATCTGTGAGAAATGTCAGAATTGGCCCAGTTTTTAAGTGTTTAAACTTGTGAATAGTTGCAAAAGACACAAAATACTTTTACTGCATAGACTGCTGCTTTGGAATCCAGAGTGGTTAGTCACATGACACCTGCTGAAAAGGAAGGGGGTAAGGCTGAAATCAGATTTCCTCAGAGACCGTGTCATTGAATTTCTAGGTATCTGGTAATGCTAGCAGCTTCCGTAGCATTGTGAAGCAGTGATTTCTTTCAACACTGAAAGTATTTTTGAGTTGTTCTATTGTTTCAGTTGAAAGTGCAGTTTTAGTACTTATCCTTTACTTGTCCCTGCAGCCTACTTAAAGCGGAGTTCCACCCAAAAGGGGACGCTACGCTTTTCTTCCTTCTTCCTCAGTGCCCTCCCTTTGCTGCCACATTTGGCACCTTTTGAGTGGGGGGTACCTGGTTTTGAACTGACCTAGAAGTTCGGACCCCCTTTCTTCCCCGGCAGCCTTCTGAGACACTTCACAGGTCCCAGATGACTGCTGCTCATTCACAAAGTGCAGCATGTTTCACGCATGTGCAGTAGGAAACTGGCTGTGAGGCTGCAAGATGGCGGTGCCAGCACCTGAATAAAGAATCGACTCCGGTGAGGATACCGCTGGATTCCTGGACAGATAAGTGCTCTAATATTAAAAGTCAGCAGCTGCCGTATTTGTAGCTGCTGACTTTTCATTGTTTTGGGGGTAGGGGGCCGGAACTCCTCTTTAAGTCAGTTGCTTTGGTGCTTGTTGACTGATAAATGTACATTCAAGACACTGGAACCTCCAGGCCTGAAGTAGTCTGCTTACGTCTTTACTAGCAGTGCCTTTCTGCAGCCACTACTAGGGTGAATGAAACAAAGACAAACTTTGTAAAGGAAGAGATTAGCAGTTTGTACTTTCCTTTTTTGCTCCCTCTAGTGGTGGCATAGAAAAGCTGCAGTGGTTAGGGAAGATGTAAACCTGCTTTCAGGATGAAGGTCCCTTGTAGGATTGTTAAGTCCGAAATGCATCATATAGCATTATCACTGCCACCTGGTTGTTGGTGGTTGTTGGTGGCATGGGTATTGGACGGTTAGGTGTGTGCACTGGAGTGCAGATCTTGGTGATGGTATTGTTGCTGTGGTGACCAAATTTAATCAGTCTTTCCTTCTGTACTTCACTGCCTGTTTTGTGCTGACATTTTGCTAACTTTTGGTTTGCAGTGCTTTGGGATAAGGAAAAACATTTTCAGACTAATGCGGACAAACCATTTATTTGATGTATGAATAATAATTTTAAACATTGAGCCTGGGTTCACATGTGTGGGGCCGTTTTGCAGTACAATATGTAAGTCTGGTGTGATTTTCGTTCAGCGGTTCAGGTGTGATCCAGTGCAAATTGTTAGTGTATGACATTGGAAATTGCACTTGAACCAGGCTGAAAATCATGCTGGATTTCTTTTTTTATTCTAAATGGCACTGCGGCCGACCCGCACATATGTGTACCGGCTCTATAGAAAAGGATTTTGGTTCATGTCATGCGAATCAAATGCAGTTAAAAACTCATCCAGTTTGCATATATGGGAACCAGGTGTTAATACTGCATCAGCCAGAGAACCTCTGGCTTGTGGATTGGTTTATTTGTAAGAAGGCAATTTCAGAAGCAATTCGCTAGCTGTTTGTACCTTTGCAGTAGTGGGTCCACACTCCTTTTTTTACTGCAGTGTTTTTTTTTTTTTTAATCAATTTTTTTTTTTTTTTTTTCAGATTGATGAAGATTCTAGCCTTGTTCCAGAGACAATACAAGGTGGAACATTCAATTTCAATTCGTCTGCCAACGTACCAGCAGAAGGGTTTCATTTCTAGGATGATTTGTTGGAAGTTAGGTACAGTGCAGCACTGAAAACTGGTTTGATCCATCAAGCTTGGCTCATGGGATCTGCTGCTGCATTAAATCGGAGACAGAAATGTGCGGACTTCATTTGGATGACAGTAAAGACCAAATGATGTCAAGATGGCGAGTGGGTGCGAGTGAGAATGAATGGCAAATGTAATGAAAACTTCACACCGAATGCTTATATAGGTTGTGCAGAGGAAAAGGGCTACAGGTCAAAGATCTTCAGTGCCTGAAAGGGATCATTGATCTTAAGAGCAAATGAGGAAAATGCAGTACTCTCATCATCAAGCCTTGTAAGCATAAAAAGAAACCTATGGGTAGGATGCCCACATAAGTCCAAGGAGAATAAGCCCAGGCCTTGCTAAGAAGCTCCGTATGAATGGACAGCATTGAATGAATGTCTGGACACAGTGTTGTGGAGCCAGGCTCATCTTACGAACGTGAGGCTATTCACTCATGAAGCAGACTCCCAGTCCAGGAGTGGCGTGTGTACGAGAGTATGGGTGTGGTGCTGTATGTGGACGCATGCAAGCTTGAATCGCCTTCAGGGGGATGATACTAAACCTAGAAAATCACAATAAGTTCATAAGTGTTACCTTACACTGGACATGAAAAAAAAAAAGACCGGTATAGCAGCAGATTTTGGTTTACTCCTACAGCCTGTGTGCATTCTTTTTACTTTGCCTCATTTTTTCCTTTTTATTTTAGTTTCTAACGTGTATGGCTTGTTTTTTTCTTTTGTTTTTTTTTTTTTTTGTTTTTTTAAGTTGCTTATACATCAAAGAGTTGGAAGAAGGCAACCCTGTGCATTTGCGCCAGATAAAATGGTTGTTATGCAGTCTGTTCCATATCATAAAAGCTGATTTGTGTACAGGAATTTTGCAAAAAGAACAGGATTGTCCTTTGCAAACTATTACACACACACCCACACACACACCCCCTCCCCCCCCTTTCAGTACAAGCGTTACCGTACGTGAAAGTGTAGAGCAGCGTAACGAGTGGTTTGAGCGAAGCAATCCTTTCGTTTTGAAATATAACATTGATCTATTTGCATGTGGAAATGGACAGCATAGTTTATTTCTAGATCCATTTTGTTCAGTCCTGTACAGATTGTTTCAGTTGTGGTAGAAGCTGTGCTGTATTCCAACCCTATTTTGTTTTCAGACGTTTGTTTTCTATGAAAATGATATGGAAACCCACAATGGTATTTGGTGCATATGTACTGCTACATTCAGACTATTAAGAGGTGTGATTATCTGTATAAACTGATTCATGGTTTCACTACCTTTACTCTGCCTAGGCAGTCTGTTTTAGAATTGTTTTATCTTTAGATGTAGGCAGCCATGAACAATCTATTTTGAGCCACTTTAGAGAGAGAAACTTTGTATCTTTTTAAAACTTGCATTGGCCATACAGATGCAAGTGTCTTCTTTTTTCTTTTTTCTTTTTCTTTTTTAATTGGCAGACTTCCTCTTTCAGAGGTAATGCACACTAAATTAAAAGCAGCATATAAATGAATTTGTATAAATAGCAGAACTCTTTTTATAAGGTGGCTCATTGTAGGAATTGCTGTGCCTTCCCCTTGAGCACAAGTGTTGCATGAACAACAAGTTGCTATGATAAAACATACTGAGTTTAGCCACCATGAGCATCAATATCTACTTTTGTGTTTAAAGTTAACTGGTAATTCTGAAACACTGTAGAATGGATACAGATTATTTTGTGATTATAAACTTTGTTGGATTAGAATATTTTTGCAGCATTCCTTGTCATCTGAAACATGGTTACAATTTAAAACTAGATACAAAAAAAGCTTGTAAAATAATGTAGAAGACAAGCTAGGCTGTCATGGGGAAATAAAGAGTAATCCTTACGATGAGCTTTGTCCTATTTATTTTCTTCATCTCATATTAGAACTTCTTAATGTATAGACAATCTATATTTAATGTATGAATTTGCAGACCTTAACGGAGTACCTACACATATCTAGTGCCATGTAGCACTGCTTCATTAGCTGATGGACCCTGTCAGCAAACATGATTTCCATTATGTTATGGCTTGGTTCATTTGAGGATGATTTCAGTTTTGTATCTTGGTTACATGTTTCTGTAAGGAAACAGAATAGACCAGAGAATTACCTCTCAGGGAAAAAAATGAAAATGCAAACAAAAATGGACAGCAAAATTGCTTATCAAAAGCCTAGGCAATGCCAGTGCTATCGAGTTTAGCAGCTAGCATGCTGAACAGCACAAATGAAAAATCTGCTAATGCAGTGATAATGTGCAACGATTTTAAAGGGATTCTGACACAAAAACACATGCTCTGACTCCTGGGCAGTGTAGTTGCTAAAGTAGAAAAACAGTGAGCCTTGATTAGGCTAGGTCAATAAGTGCAGTAATTAAACGGCAGCTTTATTTAAGGTTTTTACAGTGCAGTCTTTTTCTTTTTTATTTTTCTCTTCTAAATACATTTAAAGCTGAACTCCAACCTTGCCTTTTCATCTTACATGGTTGTGCGGGCTCTGCTCCTGTACTGAAATTGCATCCTCTGATTTTCACTGCACACTGTAAACTTCTCACAGTGTGCATTAAAAACTGCAACAGCAAGTCAGGTGCAGCCTACCTCATTTTCCATCTGGCGGATGTTCAGTATCATTTGTTCTTTCCTACCAAGCATTTCTGTCCTTGACCTGCCACTTTCATTTATTGGTTTTTACCACCATTGTTTAAGAGGCTATGCACAACTCCCTGCTAGCCCCTCTCAACAGTCATGATCTGCTTAGTGATGATCCATACCTAGTTATCAGGTATGTAAAGAAATGGTTTTATTCCCTCAATAAAAAAAAAAAAAATATATATATATATATATATATATATATATATATTACACACACTGTTTTAGGCAGTAAAATGCTGAAAAGCAAGAATGCTTTCAAAAATAAATATTTTATTTTTTTATCAATTTACAAAATGCAAAGTAAGCAAACAGAAGAAAAATCAAATCAATATTTAGTATGACTTTTGGCATCAAACCAGCAATAATGCCTACAGAGGTTATTGTATTGTAGGATTAGTCAGGTGTATGATTATCCAGTTATACCAAGCAGGTGCTAATGATCATCAATTTCCATGTATGTTGAAACACAGACACAAACAGCTGTGTAGGAAGTGATTGTAAACCCTCATCATGTAAAACTTTGTTTAATATAAAAATGAAAAGCAAAACACTGATCTTACCCAGTGAAAGGGGGGGGGGCGGCGGCGCAGCAGAAGTCTGATTAGGAGGATAGCGCACTGAGTTCCCAGCACAGCTAGAGAACTGACCATGGTGTGCTCTCTTGCCTAGTGTAGTCAGTTTTTTAATAAAGTAGAGGGACCAATGTGAACACTAGGGATTGCACACAAAGGAAGCAATACAAAGAAAACAGGATTTTTTTTTTTTTTTCTTTTTCAAACAAGTACATGTTACAGCAGGCACTGATCAGGAATATGAATTCTTGGGTTTACATATTCTTTAATACTAGGTGAAGAACATCCAAAATCTGCTGATAAGGTGAGGTTGTGGAAGACTTGTTTCATTTCACAGGACATAAACCATGGCAAGACTGAGCACAGCCACAAGGTAGTCATACTGCATCAGCAAGGTCTCTCCCAGATAAAGATTTCGAAGCAGACTGTGGTTAAGATGTGCTGTTCAAAGTATCTTGAAGAAGCGCAAAGAAATGGGCTACATTGAGCACCGTAGACACAGTCGTTGGCCAAGGAAATGTAATGCAGCAGATGAAAAACACATGCTTGCTTCCCTTCAACATTGGAAGAGGTCCAGCAGTGCCATCAGCACAGTACTGGTGGAAAACCAGTAGTTTCCAGGTACACGCACTATACTGTCTGGCCAGTAGTGGTCTTCATGGAAGAATTGTGGCCAGAAAGCCATACATTTTGATGTGGAAACCAGGCTAAATGACTCGCATATGCTTAAGAATTGGGGTGCATAAAAATGGCAGCAGGTGCTCTGGAGTGATGAGTCAAAATGTGAAATATCTGGCTGTAGCAGGAGGCAGTTTGTTAGGTGAAGAGCAGTAAAATGAGGCTATAGTGAGCGCGGTGGAGGTTCCTTATAAGTTTGGGGCAGCATTTCTGCAAATGGAGTTGGAGATTTGGTCAGGATCAATAGTATCCCCAAAGCTGAGAAATACAGGGAGACACTTATCCATCACACAATACCATCAGGGAGGCGTGTGATTGACCACAGATGTGTTCTGCAGCAGCAAAACAACCCCAAACATACAGCCAATGTCATTAAGAACTATCTTCTGTAAAGAACAAGGAGTCCTGGAAGTGATGGTTTGGCCTCCACAGAGCCCTGATCTCAACATTGAGATTACATAAAGAGACAGGAGGACTTGAGACAGTCTACATCCACAGAAGACCTGTGGTTAGTTCTCCAAGATGTTTGAACAACCTTTTTGCTGAGTTCCTTCAAAAACTGCACAAGTGTACCTAGAATTTATGCTGTTTTCAAGGCAAAGGTGGTCACCAAATTAGATTTCTCTTCATTTCATTTCCATTTTTGTTTTTTTTAATCAATTAACATTTCTATTTCTGAAAGCATTCTTTACAGCATTTTTTTTCATACCTGCCTAATATTTTGCACAGTAGAGTATCTGGTGCCCAATATTTTGAAACCGTTTTCATTGTATTCAGAAAGTCCTCAACCCCCCCCCAACCGTCTCAGGCAAACATGCAAACCTTTATCAGTCACCTGCTGTGTGCTGGAAAGGGTGTGGGACCATTCCTGGGATTCTGTGGTATCCGCATAGACAAGCCTTTCACAACCAGGGTTTCTTAAGCAATGAGCATTTTCTGTCTGTCTCAGATGAGTAATCTCTGCCAGCAATTATTAGTAATCTGTAAGGGGGAATTCTGTCCATTGACCACAAATGTATGGAACATTCTTCCCAGTGACCATG